ACAATCCAGATGACTTATACGATCGAGGTCAGGCGGTCAACTGGCTAGGAGATGCGAGTAAAAGGATGCTGCGTTCATCTCGTATCGAATGTAACGTACGATCAATAAATCAATTACATGCGCAGGGGCAATGCTGAATTGGGTTTGACAGTTTGTTAGAATAGTGATGGGGTGTGTTTGTTGTGTGGATGGGATTTTGTCGATATTCGATTTATATCGAATGAACTTGACAACATCAGTCTGTATGACTTTCAAAACATATTGTAGTGTATACATCTAAGTCTACAGCAATGAATGTTCATCTTTCATATATTCAACTGTCGTTCGCTAAGAATAACTTGACGTGATGGGATTCTTCTTTCTTTGTGATTAATTTATTGTATTTGTAGTGTGCAATCCGTCTGGTCAGCGTTGTACAGTAGGCCAAAACCTCTTCTCTAAGGAGAGGCCTATGGCCAGCAGTGGACTGTTGATGGCTATTGATGGTGATAATTTGTAGTGTGTAGTGTACTTTACTTAAGTATGACGACTAATATATGCCTTTACTTATAAACCACATAACTAATCACTGTATAACTTAAAGTTATGTTATTTCGGTGGTATAAAAGGCGTAGGAGGTGCGAAAGAATCTTCAAAAGTCATAGGCAAGACGGTAAGAATCTGACAGATCTCTTCGAATAGACCCTAAAGGATGGAGGATATCCATGAATATCTTCCACCACGACAACATAACTGTTTAAGGAGGCATCACAATGACTGACTGTTGTTCAGTAAAAAAACATCTTTTTTAACCAAATGTGAAATTGGAAGTAGAAAAAATAGACAACCTTTATGTTTTTGACTTCTCGTTAAAGAAATTTAAGGAGTCTTCCAAAACAAATACTCGTATTAATAGACGAGATCAGATTATAACTATCGACAATTGATCGACTCAACGCATCACTAGCCAAAGGAAACAGGATATGTTCAATGGGATGATTGATCGGCACCGAACGACCGACCGAACGGTAATCCTTGCACTAAATAAATATCAGCGTTTATGAGACATGGCCACTAAGACGGACAGACACGCGACTCGCAACTAAAGTTATTTATAGGGCGCCCTTAATTGGGAGCAGTCGGGAGTTTGGAAGTACTTCTTCTTTTTAAGGTTAGGTTTAAAAGATGACTTAAGATAAAAAAAACCTTGCTTGATTGTCCGATGGGATCCATTCAGAGTCAAGTTTCGGATGACATTGACGTTTTTGTATTATTGTAGTGGCACAATAGTATACAGATTGGTGATTTACTAGTAAGTTAAAAACAGCAAATTGTTTATTGCTTGCTAATACGATCTGAACATTATTTTGTGATATAGGGCGCAAACTAACAAATGGATTACCTGATGGTTAGTGAATACCGCTGCCAATGAATACCTGCAACTCTAGAGTTAAGTACTAGGGCATTGTCTCCCTCCAGAGCTCTTGTCACATTAACAGCCTTTAATAGTCCACTGCTGGACATAAACCTCTCCTTAGAAAGGAGGTTTTGGCCTACTATACCACGCTGGCCAGACGGGTTTGCATAGAACTCTTGTAATACTTTTTATTTATGATAACTAAAAAGAGTCTACATTGTAAAAACTAAACTCCTAATAAACATACCTATTTCCTAAATACAAAATGTTTATTAATCAATAACATCCAGGTACATAGCAAATGACTGTATTCTAAATGAGTATCTAACCCACAAGCACAGGAAATGGAAATCGGCACATCTAATGGGGACATGTCTATGATTATACATAAATCTATTTGCCATTGAAAGGGAAAGAACATTCTTTTGACGGACCTGTTGGTATAGTGGTTAGTGACCCTGACTGCTAAGCCGGAGGTCGTGGGTTCGATTCCCACCCAGGACAAATATTGTGTGATGAGCACGATCATTTGTTCTGTGTCTGGGTGTAATTTATCTATAATATGTATGTATTTAAAAATATAAAAGTATGTTTATCAGCGGTCTGGTTACCATAGCACAGGCTCTGCCTAGTTTGGGATCAGACGGCCGTGTGTGAGATATGTGAGGTATATTATTATTCTAACATTGTAGACTACTATTTGATTATTTCTTCTACTAATTGTTATTGGCAAGTGATCAGAGTGGTTAATTTCAATGAGTATTGCGCCAACATTTTGTGGACGTGACAACGCGAGTTGATGAGTTTTTTCCTCACCTTTAAGAGTGTTCTGTTGGAGACAAGACGCAATTTCTAATTGAATTTTCATGTACATGTTGCGACAACACGTAAGAGAAATCGACAGTATTTTTAAGTACTTTTCCTAATTTAGTTAACAGTTTTAAATGGCCTCTTTGTCTGGTGTTTATTAATTCTGACTAGTAAGCTTGAGGTTGTGGGTTTGATGTCCACTGAGTATTATTTACATATAACGCCATCTAGTTTAAAACTAAGCAGAGCTTGTACTATGAAAGCTTAATTGACTGATAGAATACTTATATACTCTTTTTTGTAAATACATAATATTCTAAATAGAGAACACCCAAACTCGAAAACAAATCATACAAATATTTAGTCAGACCTGGGCATCGAACTTGAGATCTCAGCACAGCAGTCGCATACGCAACCACTGCACTACCAAGGCTGTCAAAAATGTCTTTAGAAATGTAAAAGTATGTTTATCAGCAGTTTGGTTACTATAGCAAGGGCTTTGTATGAGATTTTTGAAGTTATTATTACTATTAGTTTCTTAGAAACTACATTAAAAAGTACTCCACTTGTCATTAATCATCGAATGAATTGAGCATCACTAAAAGGAACAGTTCCCAGGAACCGAACCAAATAACCACAATTAACGTTCATTCTACTCAAACAAATGTTCGACGCCCACCAATCGATCAATCAATATTATCGATACAGTCAATTAACGCGCTCGGGGCAGCTCTAATTGAGAGCAATAGAGTGGCGATGTAGCATTTGAGTCAAGTGTTTATATTGTCATAACTTAAGGAAGTTCACCGAGCAACTGGTCAAGTTCCAACGCTCTTTAGTTCCTTCTTTTTTCGAGGTGAATAATGCTTAAAACTTCTTGATAGTCTTCTTGGTACTTGTACTATACAAGATCCATAGATGGTGAATCAGATAATAAACCTTAAAGGCTGAAGATCTGTAATTTTAAAAGACCTGGAAGATTTTTACACGCTTTTGTGTCTTCTAGTCGACTTCATTAATGTATCACATCTTAGTTATAATTTATAAAAATCATAAAAAATGTTAATAAAATCTATTCCGCATCTTTTGCTTGTCGTACGAACCTTGATCTTAGATGTTGAATATATAAACTGATATATTTACATAAAATTGCATTCGTTTTACAAAAAGCGAAGATATTGATATACAAAAAACATATGAACAAGACTGGCCCGTTGGTCTAGTGGTTAGTGACCCTGACTGCTACGCCAGAGGTCGTGCGTTTGATTCCCACCGAGGACAAATGATTGTGTGATGAGCACGGTCATTAGTTCTGCGTCTTGGTGTAATATGTATGTTTTAGAATTTATAAGTATGTTTATCAGCAGTCTGGTTACCATAGTACAGGCTCTGCCTAGTTTGGACCCAGACGGACCTGAGCGAGATGTGTGATGTATATTAATATCAACAAAAATACTTTGTTTTATAGAGAATCTTTGCTTTTTTAAAGTCGGTTACTATGATATTGTGCTTTTGAAGTTGATCTAACACTCGCCAATACTAGACTAGGTATTGAATAATATATTATTGTAAAGTAAAGTGATTTAGTGAGCTTACGATAGACCTGTGAACATGATTCATTTCATGTCGAAGTCGTAGCTAATAATTATTTTAGTTCTAAGATTTTGAACAATAGCTGTATTTTAGGGTGACATAAATTTTGATATTTAAAGACTTTATTATACCGTAGATAATTTAAATCTAGAGAGTGATATGGATTGATGACTTTGTTTATGTAAAATGATGATGATTTACTTAAACAATACTCTTAGAATATTTAAAGAATGTACCTAATATCAATGACGTGTTATAATATTGTTTTGTTTATATATAATTGCCTTATACCTTGTATGCCTTTCGGCGGGACATAGCTTGTACATAATAAAATTGACATCTAAACCACCTATGTATCACAAAATTGAATTAATAAATGAAATGAGTGTCTTTTTATTTGACTCTTTTACACCGTAACTTTTAAGGGAGGCAAAAAAGACTACATGATCTTTGATCATGAGAATAGCTGTTTACAATAGCTAGTAACACAATAAATAAATGAATTTCTGAATTAAAATATGCGTAGGATAAAATCGAAAGTTGAAATCTGATGTTTTTTTTAAAAGACAACTCCCGCATTAGGAATACATCCTGTGCCGCGGGGGACTTTACAAACATTCATGAAACGGACACAAAGAACACCCAGACTCAGAACACCAATTTGTGGATCGCACAAAGTGTCGTCCCATGTGGGGTTTGAACCCACAGCACTAGGCGTAGTAGGCAGCGGCGTGGCGACCGCTTAAACCAGTACGTCATCCGTGCAGTTCATTTACTTCCCTATCAAATTGGTAAAATAGAGAAGCCCCTTTTTTTTTCTTTTTTTTTTTTTTTTCTCGCTCGGAAATCCCCTCGGATACCACCTGTCGGTGGCATGTCGGACTCGAACCGACTAAAACCGCACGCCGTCTCGGGTACTAATAGCCGGGGAACCAGGTATACCCTAGAAAGGAAGTCCCTGGTGCCCCGACATACCTCGGGTCATCTACAGACGAGTAGACGACTCCCCCCCCCCCCCCCCCCCCCCCCAAAAGAAGATTCCGATACCGGGAATCGAACCCGAGCCTCCTGGGTGAGAGCCAGGTATCCTAGCCACTAGACCATATCGGATATTAATAGAGAATCCCCGGATGCTGCAGATACGTCAAGGTAATAAGATAGTACTCATCTGTCCTCTTAAATTTATAATATTACTTTAGTTTTAGTAACTTACCTCTTTTTCTTTAGCAGCTAATTCACTCTCCAAGTTGCCACCCTGATGCACCACAGGACTGCTCCTCGAGGAGTTGCTATTACTCCTGCCAGTGGCGGCCATCTCCATTTTATGTTCTACGTCGTCATCCAATTCCTTCTCGTCTTTGATGTCGGGGCTAAACCTATCGATCCTAGCCTCCGTGCCTTGGTCCCTCGTGGGTTCTAAGTGGGAGCCATTGGTTTTAGGAACGGTAGCTTGGAGTGGGGTAGGGCTGGTGGTGGCCAGTTGTTCTTTTAACGTGGTCACTTCTTTTTCGGCCAGTGTGGCTCTCTGTAACAATACAAAATAAGAGTTAGATGATGAATAATTTTTTCGAAGACCTATTTTCTAAATAATTTCTTGGCAAATACGAGAAGAATACGACCTAGCTAGCAGATAGCCCTACATCTACCTACTCTACCTCAACCTACTCTACATTTTATATGAATGTTTTCTTTTTTAGTCAGTAAGGTGGTAAACAAGCACACCGTTTTTATCATATATATTTACAACACTATACATAACTCTGAACTCACATGTCGATATCCATCAATACACATAAACAATACAGAGTTAAAAACATAAAGGAAGCGAATATTTTCACATGCGCGTACGCAAATGAATTAATTCAATCTAATTACTGGTTCCCATATGACGGTACTTCCGGTAGCATTCAGCCTATCAGCGCCATCACCGGAAGTGGTATTGGCGTCAATGGTGTTGGTGAATGATTCGGTTAATAAATGCTTTGTATTAAAAAAATACCTGATTTTTAATTACACAGAACAGTGTATTAAAGTGACAAAGATACATACACAACAATCTATTATAACTATTATCAAATATATAATGAAAAATCTTTGACATTTTTTTTACCAGTAACGTAGCAAACAAGCTTACAGTAAGAGGGATACTGGTGATGTGAGTGATGACATGAGATTTTTACGTTAAAAGAGATGATAAACTCTAGATTTTGTACTTATTTTTGGGACAGTTAACACCATACCAAAGTATAAGAAGCATGCTAAATTGGCAATTTGCATTCGCTATAGGACCCATGGCCTATATAGTTTAGAGTGGAAAAAGCAGGACGGTTCTAATTAGATAATTACATCAGTAAAGAATATGTATTATTTTTTTATTCCTTGTTTCTAACTTTGAAAATAACAAGCTTCCATACAACCGTTAATCCCTAATTTTACCCCCTTAGGGATGAAATTTCCAAAAACTTTTCTTAGTGGATGCCTACCACATAAAAAGCATTAGCTGGTGGAATTTGAAGTCTTTATGTGGGGCACACTGAAAGTCTCTGGATCTGGCCACTTACAATAAAAGAATGGAAAAACAATTTTGGAATTCGAAAATGGAACTCTTTGGGAACATGTTTCTTTTTAATTTGCGAGACTGTCATTTGTTTTTTCATTGTGACGTCCTTTCGAAAATTGTGTATTCGTTTTTCATTCAATTTTCAATTCAACGTTTTCGTTCAATGATTTTTTATGATTTTCGTTGTGGCTTACATTCCGGTAAGGTACCAGAAGCCTATTTGAAGGCTTCCGATGTGGAACTGATGACGCATCCGCCTTACAGCCTGGACCTCGCACCCTGCAACTTCTTTTTGTTTCCAAAAATTAAAAACAAACTTAGAGGCACACATACACACAGGCTAAATCGGCGGTGAATGCGTTCCATGAAGCCATTGAAGAGGTCCCTAAGGAAGATTGGTTCAACTGCTTTGTACAGTGGTTTCAGTGAATGCAAAAATGCATTAATTGTTATATAATATAATAATATATAATATATTCTACCACATTCACACAACGCCATCTAGTCTCAAACTAAGCAGAGCTTGTACTATATGCTAATAGACAACTGAAATAAATACATATATTTTTATTTTATTTATTCATTTCTCATCGAGTAACAAAACTCATAGTGTTAGTAACAATTTGACTTATAACTATGTATAATATATACTTTTTTTTTTTGTAAACACAAACATATTATACATAGAAACACCCAGACCAAATCAAACATCAAATGTTCACGCACACAAATGTTTGACTTGAGCGGGAATCGAACCCGCGAGCTTTGGAATAGCAATCCGTTACACAAACCACTACGCCATCCAGTCGTCAAATACCGTAAGTCTTATATCTAGTCTTATTTATCAGAATCCAGAAACTTTCAGTATGCCCTAAATACTCGCAGCGATTTAGGCTCTGCGTTGATATATCAGCCAGACAGAGCAAGTTATTTTATATGTAAAGATTATAACAGCGCTATTTAAACCACAATTAAACTTAGCTTAAGTTGTAGAACACGAATAAACATACTTAAGTATATTCTTATTCTCTTTTCTTTACTTATAGAACCTATTTAAATGTACGAAAATAATAAGTGATTATCCAAAGAAAGTTAAAGAGGGCTCACACACGCGTGACTGCATGCTGTTTGCACAGATATGATCAACAGATAATGGGGGCTACACACTGATGGAGGTAGCTGCGGCTGGTACATCTGTGTTTAAAGCTTTTTTAATTTGTTGCTTTAATGTTAATTGGAGTTAACTTATTTATGTAATGATATAAATTGCTATCTATATATTGTTCCGTGTGGTGACGGATTAGGAATACGGAGTGTATAGCCGACCGTAAGAGCCGACTAAGGGAATAAACAACGCAGGACAACAGCACTGCAAAGAGAAGGAAAACTTGACACAAACCCTATACCAACCCGTCTGGCCAGCGTGGTATAGCAGGCCAAAACCTCCATTCTAAGGAGAGGCCTATGTCCAGTAGTGGACTAGTAATGGCCGTTGATGATGATGATGATATTGATTCGAACTACTATGGTCGTTTTTAGTTGATAAGTTATTAGAAACGTGATATCTACCTATCATCTTTATTTACAAGAATTAGTTTCAATATTTTGTCACTGTTGCAATGATCACCAATGAATTCAAAGACCATTCTCGAAAATCTGAGATAATGATAGTACTCTTAACCGTTTTTTAAGGACAAGGTGAGAACTTTAAACCCTTCTCGTCTGTAAGGTCCATGTCTCGTACTGCAATAATAATAACATTCTACCACATTCACACAACGCCATCTAGTCCCAAACTAAGCAGAGCTTGTACTATGGGTACTAGACAACTGATATAAATACATATATACTTTTTTTTGTAAATACATACATATTATACATAGAAACACCCAGACCAAATCAAACATCAAATGTTCATGCACACAAATGTTTGACTTGAGCGGGAATCGAACCCGCGACCTTTGGAATAGCAGTCCGTTACACAAACCACTACGCCATCCAGTCGCAATAAAGTAAAAGACGTTAAATATTAACAGAATCGTTCGCAAATACATTGTGAAAGACCTTAATAATACGCATTGAACACTACTAGTTGCAGATAAAAACAAAGATGGCGGACTTGTTTAATTGTGTTACCAACACTACTTTTTTAATTTAAGATAAGTTTATTATGTAATGCAAACAAAAATTAAATTGGAGTCGGCGAAACTCCAAAACTAATGGCTTAGTAACTAGAACTTGTGTAATGAGTGATGACTCTAATACTTGGAAACACGTTCGATGCTTGAGTCATTCAATAGGTATATTAGTCTGACTACACAAAGTAAAGATTGCCTGGTGTTTGAATTTCAATGTTCTGTGTTCTGTCTGTTTATCTAAATTTTACAATCCACCGTTTTCCTTAAAATATGCATACATATTTTGTGTTATATTAGACAAACGAATAAATTATAGGGGCTATTAATAATATTTAAATAACAGCTTTTATTAAATATGTATGAATGTTTAGAAGGTACTTTTTTTTAAAACAAATAATATCTTGAATTCTGTAATCATCATCGTCAACAGCCTTTAATAGTCCACTGCTGGACATAGACGTCTCCTTAGGAAGGGGTTTTTGGCTTACTATACCATGCTGGTCAGACGGGTTGGAATATAGTTTGTTTTTAAGTTTTCCTTCTCTTCGCATTGCTGTTTTCCTGCGTAGTTTGCTCCCCTAGTCCGGTCAACACCAACGCTATGAATAGGGGTGGTGAAACTCAGTATTTTTAATCCGTAAGCACACGGAAAAACCCAAATACTGCTGTATTTTTGTAAAGTTTGATAAGATAGCCAATAGTAGATTAATTTCAACAGTCGTGCAAATATTTACCTCAACAGGTATTTAACCTGTCGTACGGCTCCAATTGGGGCATCTACTGTACTCTTTAAATATGTATATACAATTATTTAACTTTATTGCGACGCCATCTACCGTAACTTTAAAGAATTATACATTAAATTATTTACATAATCAGTTTAAACATTGTTACCAACAACGTGTAGTATTTAAAGGCTGCACAAAGTAGTGACTTACTGTAACAACTAAAACGAAGTACTATTGTCTCTGGTCGAACATTTTTATCGCGTATTACAAATGACCGGTGCATTACGTAACGTGAGCCGCTCAATTGAACTTGATTGATCGTTCTAGCTCACTCACTCACTGACTCATTCACTGATATAAGAATAAATGCCCTTGATCACGTCACTGGACCTTTGAGGTGCCATGACATGGTTGTGTAAGAGAAATGAACAATTATTGATGTGATTGAACCAGAATATTGCTGGCGATTAAATATTGTAGATTTTTTTGTAGGTGTAGCGAAAATAGTGTTGTTGGGTCTGTAGGGATGTATGAACTGTCACTAACTAAAATTTACGGGCTTGTTGGCTAGCGAAGCTGACTGCTGAGGCAGAAATCGTGGGTTCGACTCCCACCCAGGACAGATAACAGTCTAATTAGGTTCACGATCACTTCTGTGTTTTGATGTAGTTTGTTTTTTAAAAACAACTCCCGCATTAAGAATATAGCCCGTGTCGTAGGGGACTTTACAAATATACATGAAACGGACACAAAGAACCATTTGTTGATCACACAAAGGGTTGTCCCATGTGGGGATCGAACCTACAACACTCAGCGCAGCGACTATGTGTAAAATATGTCAGGTAATTATTGTTATTAAAATTTAACCATCCCAAGAAAAAACATACCTAAAATAATCTTATAAAATCTGATCAATCTTAAGCAAGACTATGAATAGAGTACTGAAGACTAAACATCATACGAAGAAATACATTGCAACAGACACAGCACTGTATCACACAAAACGTAACGCAGGAGATTTATACATACATTTATCGTGTCATCAATGTTCAGCCAATGTGAAGAGCCCTTTATTACAACATGCGCTAACAACACACGATAGTGCGTAGACTCTAATTCTAATTAAAACAACGATCATATACCGAATAATTATGTTTACAACTAGAAAGTCTACGAAAGTATGAAAGCTGTTGATGAGGAAGTGGAACATTCAATTATAATGGACGAAATTATCGCTCTGTTTGATGGGTAACGAGTTATTAATAATTAATTTTAAAGAATTATGTTAAACCGTGTTTTTGACGGCATAGGGAGCAAACGCGCAGATAGATCTCTTGAAAGTAGGTGACTACTGCCGGTACAAGAGCT